TGTGGCATCACAGCTCACAGCAACCTCCAACTCCTGGGCTCAAGCGAGTCTCCTGCCTCAGCCTCCCAAGTAGCTGGGACCACAGGCACCCGCCACGCCTGGTTATTTTTTGGTGGTAGCCATCGTTGTTTTGGTGGCCTGGGCTGGATTCGAACCCACCACCTTAGGTGTATGTGGCTGGCGCCTTAGCCACTTGAGCCACAGGCACCGAGCCTATCTGTTTTATTTATTGTTTGAGATACAGTCTCACTGTGTCACCCTCAGTAGAGTGCCATGGCGTCACAGTTCACAACAACTTCAAACTCTTGGGCTTAAGAGATTCTCTTGCCTCAGCCTCCCAAGTAGCTGGGACTACAGTCATCTGTCACAACGCCTGGCTATTTTTTTGTTGTAATTGTTACTGTTGTTTAGCCAGTGGTTCAGCCAGCCTGTGGTTCAAACCTGCCAGCCCTGGTGTATGTGGTTGGCACCGAGCCCAAATATGTTAATTTTTTTTTCTTTTTGAGATAGTCTTAGTATGTCGCTCTTGGTAGAGTGCTGTGGCATCATAGCTCACAGCAACCTCAAACTCTTGGGCTCAAGTGATTCTCTTGCCTCATCCTCCCAAGTAGCTGGGACTACAGTCACCTGTCACAATGCCAGGCTATTTTTTGTTGCAGTTGTCATTGTTGGTTAGCTGGTTGTGGCCAGGTTCAAACTCGCCAACTTTCGTGTATGTGGCTGGCACCATAACCACTGTGCTATGGGCGCTGAGCCCTAATATATTAATTTTTAACTGCTTTTTTATTTTAACACCAACAGATACCACTTGTTCAGATTTCTCAGCCTTAGTTTTGTCATCCATGAGTTTAGGCTGGTTGTGTAAGGGTCCACATTGGGCCAACAATTAGAACTCCAAGATTGAGAGCTGCTATTCCTACTGTTATCTCTTTGGTGAGGAAACTGAGGCTAAAATGTTAGAAACAGCTTGCCCAAGTTGCAAATAAATTGAGACTAGAAATCAGATCGTCATTTAATTCTGTAGTTGCTGGGAATCTGGGTGGAGTAGGATTTAAGCATTGCTGCTAGGATTGATGTTATAAACACATCCTGCTTGGAAATACCATAAAATCAAGATAGGAGCCATTGGCTATGGAAAATGTTTGGTCCATAGTGAGGAATTGTTACCTAACCACATACTTTTGACTCACAGTTTTGGAAAAGAATAAATTTAAGGCTTTTTGCTCACATCCCACCTATGCAAACCCAGAGACCCAATGTTTCCCTAACTACAATGGATCCTGTAGGCTCAGAGTATGGAGAACATTCTGATGATGGTGGTAGCTGTGATGATTGTGCCTAGCTGCAATAGGGGAGATTGACTTTGCATGTGTTTTTGACAGCCATTGTTTTGCTTAGATCTTAGAAATCCCAGTTCCTTTTATGGGTCCCTGGCTTTGGACAATCACACATAGCCATCCTAAAGACTGACACTGGATAACTGTTCATTTTCCAAAATTATAGTTTAAATAGCTCCATTCTCTACTCTTTTTTTTTTAGTCTTTATTTATTTGTTTTTTGCGGTTTTTGGCCGGGGCCGGGTTTGAACCCGCCACCTCTGGTATATGGGGCCAGCGCCCTACTCCTTGAACCACAGGTGCTGCTCCCATTCTTAACTCTCTAGAGCCTTTTTGAGAAGGAATAGATAAGAGTTTTAGTTGTTAAGACAAAAACTATAAATTATTGTTGATTTCAGGGTTTTGTTTTTGAGGGTTTCTTTTTTTGGTTGTTTGTTCAGTGAAAGCCTAATAAGTGGTAAAATTAATTGCCCAGTAACTGCTGGACTGTTTTCTTTGTTGACTTGACAGATACTGCATACGCAAAGAACAAACTGAATGGGAAATGGTATTACTTTGATGATAGCAGTGTGTCCCTGGCCTCTGAGGATCAGATAGTGGTGAGTAGCCCTGGATACCTGGTTCTTCCTCTTGCCTTAGCAGATTAAATCTGGGAAGTTTATTGTCTGACTAGTTGGTTATTTCATCATCCTGAGGTGACAGTGAAAGCTAGGTGTGATAGAGTTGGCTGCCATTCCTTCTGATACCCTGTGTAAATGAGAAACTCAGCTCTTCTTAGGGTTCTGTGTCCAGGGCATCTGCTTTCCCCTCATCCCCTGGTGGGGCAGCACAAGCCAGCCTCTATGTAGAGATACATAGGGAAAAATGGCAGATCCCTGAGAGTTGGTTTTTTTTTTTTTTTTTTTTAATTAAATCATAGCTGTGTACATTAATGCAGTCATGGGGTAGATCACTGAGAGTATTGAGTAATGAAAGAAAAGCTAGAGAAAATGGGTTATTTTTCCAAATAATAAATGGACTTTCTTCTTTTGTGTTTTAGACAAAAGCAGCTTATGTGCTATTTTACCAGCGTCGAGATGATGATTCTTATAAGATGCCTTCGCTCAGCAGTTTTCCTGGTTCCTCTGATGGAGGGTCGAGACCAAGCAGTTCACAGCAGGGCTTGGGGGATGATGAGGCTTGTAGCATGGACACCAACTGACATTGACTTGGCCACCCTGCGGCACCAGTGCAGTCCCCTAGGAGGACATCTTTCACATTCTGAGAACTGCTAGTGTTCAGTCTAAATAGCAGATAAGGAAATTCCCTTCTTTTATGAGCAGAAGGAAAAAAAAAAGACCCTGTTTGCTTGGAAGGGTTATGTCAAGAGGCTGAATTATTTTTCTTTTTAAACAGGTGGTGAGAAATTTCTGTAAAACCTGTGAAGCTGAAAAGTGGGGTAGGGTATGGGTAGTATGTCTGATGGATTCCAAAGAATGGAGAGGAACACATTAAGTGTGGTGCAGCTGTGAAGAGCCCACACAGGGCTGCCTGAGCTCTTGGATTTCTGGTTCTGGTGCTGATACTGCTCCCCAAGTAGTCTGCCCACAGTAAACCAAGTCACAAGTAAACTTGGTTTTGTCCCCCTTTCCCTTGTGTGTACTGAGATGGGTTTATAATTTTTTAAAAAGTAGCCACTGAAGCCCATTTCTATTTCTCCTTTGAGTCATGGAATGTCTAGCTTTCATCCCCCGAATGAAGATATTTAGTGTTGGGGTCTCCTGTCCTTCAACTTCCTGTGGAACCTAGAAGTTATGTTGTGTCTCCCACTGTCCTTGATGAATTGAGACAGACATTGTGTGGAACTTTTATTATCAGAAACATACTAGGTATTAGAAGTCTGTACAGAAAACTGCTGGGTACTGTATCTTAACCAGTCATTTCTCTCCATGTTGGCTGGAGAACAGGAACCTTTGTGGGAGATGTCAGGCCTGGAAGGGGCTCTGGCTCATGTGGTTTGGAGTGATAATGTATGGTGTGATCCAGATGCCCTCCCTTCTGGTTCTCTCTTCACTCCCCGCATCTGTCCAGGCCCCACCCCTACTTTGCTCCGGCCTCTGCCCCCGCCCCTGCCCCCGCCCGGTCTGTCTGGCCTCAGGCCTCGGGTGAGGCGGAGCTTGAGGGGCGGAGCTTGAGGTCGCGTGCCCTCGCAGCCACGTGGGTGTGGGACTGAAGAACTTGGTCCTGTAGGCTTTTTGTCTTGACCTTTAACCTAACCCGCGGGGGTTGTGGCCGCTGGTCTCAGAGCACGTGCGATCTATGCGCGTGCAGTGACCGTTGGCGGGGGTGACAGTGTCGCTATTTCTCGGTGAGGAGGATATGGCTGGGGCCTCTAACTGCGGGTGGCTTGAGTGCCGGGTATGAGTGCCGTACTACCAATGCAGGGATGCAGTGGGGAAGGGGCCACACAGCCAGGCATCCGGAGGCAGGTGGTCCTGGGGCTCCTGCCAAATCTCCCTAAGAACTTTGGGTAACACCCAAACAGCGTGGGAGGGTGAGGGGGGGGGAGTGTCCTGATCTAGTATAGATGGAGGATACACTATACTATACACTATAGTGTATATGGTGGATACTATTCCTCCTCAAGGAAATGGTGACAAGCACTCCACTCCCCATTTAGGGGTAATTTACAACCTCATTTGTAAAATTGTGCTTGCTCTGTGCATTTCCAGTGTATTATATAAAGACATGGTCACTTTTAGGGGAAATGTCCGAAAAACTAAGAAGATGCAGAAAGGAGTTGGCTGCAGCCATTGACCGGGCATTTGAAGGAGTCAGTCATTCCCAAGAGTGCACAAACCAGCAGAGACTGGAGCTGGACACTGCTCCATTTTCCTTCTCGCTGCCCATGCACAGACTTCTCTGCAGAAGACATCCATCGGCAGCCTGCTCTTCTGCTGCTCCTTTTGCAGCTGTCCCATGTCCTCTTGATAATGAGAACCTTGCCTTTGCATCAAACCCTGTCCCAGTAAATGCAAAACCACATGTTTTATGCCCCAAAAGAAAACCTCTGAGCAGCAAAGAAAATGTACTGATCCATTCCTCCATTTTGGCACCTGAAAGACAGTTTTGGAGAGCTGCAGGAGATGGGGAAAACTGGAGAAAAGAAAGTTTAAGGTGATTATAATTTGATAATTTAATAGCTACAGTTAAGAGGATTCTTGTATCTAGAAAAAATGTTGATGATCCTAGATTTAGTTCACGGCAATGCTCTTGCCTCCACGTGGGAGTTCTATGACTGTGTTTGGTTGTGTTTTGTTGTTGTTTAGAGAGACATAGTTTCACTTTGTCACCCTGGGTTGAGTGCCATGGTATTAGCCTACCTCACAGCAACCTCAAACAAAGACTTAATTGAACCTCTTGCCTCAGCCTTCTGAGTAGTTGGGACTACAGGTGTGTGCCACAACACCAGCTTTTTTTTTTTTTTTTTTAATAGAGCCAGGGTCTTGCTCTTGCTCAGGCTCATCTCTGAGCTCAAGCAATCCACCCTCCTCAGCCTCCCAGAGTGCTAGGATTACAAGCATGAGCCACTGCACCCAGCTTCCATGACGGTATTTGGTAAGTTCATAGACTTTCAAAATTTAGCCTGAAAACATAGTTATGTTATGTGTCTATTTCTGGGTTGAAGGACTTAAGTTGTCAATCCTGGATGTCAAACCAGTCATGGAAACTACTTTGCAGTACCCAAAGAGATAATGAATGTTAAATAATGCAATTTTAAAATAACTTTTATTATTTATGCTGTAAAAACAAAAATCTGAATTCCATTTTAACTCTTACGTTTGAACCTGGACACTGTGGGCTTTGACAACCGCCTTTGCCCATACTTGGGAGAGGCTGAACTAAAGCCAGGGCTCTACTCCTAGCTTTATCCCTACCTCTGCTCCCCTTTGTATTATAACCAGGTTAAAATATCCTCTAGAACTTTTCTTTTTCCAAGTTCATAATGCCTTGTCCCAGGCACCTTGACTTGGAGAAGAGGGGATGACAAAGTCCTGCCATCTTGGCTGTAACATATGCAGGGTATACAAAAGCCATTTAACTGGTTCAACTTCACAAATATTTGTTAGTATTCATAAACATTAATGCAGTTTGTGGTGCTTGTGAGTCATGATATACTGTTCATCAATTTTTTCCCTGATTTAGCAGCTTCTGATTGTCTTCTAATCACATTATAAAGGACAATTTCAAGTTACTATACGTTTTCATCTTAAAATTATCTGAGTTCCCTCCAGTATTTTCCTGAAAGAGTATCTAATACCCTACCTTTTATTTTCCCCACCTGGGTGGCTGCAGGAAAGATATGGAAAGAGATTTGAAGGTTGACTCAAACATGCCACTCAACAGTTCTAGCCAAGAGGTCACAAAGGATCTGCTTGACATGATTGGTGAGTACAGAGGGCTAGTCTGTCCTTTCCTTGGGAAGGATAGGTCCTTTATGCTAGCCCTTGAGTCAGCAAATGTCTCAGATTTCTAAAAAAATTATCTTATTTATGATATCATCTATTTATTTGATAGGTTTGTTTTGGTCACAGCAGACTGAACAGCACAGAGCCCTGCCCTCATAGAACTTAGCAAGGTCATGCATCCATCAGGTCATTTCATACATGTCTAGTTATAGTGAGTTCATGAAAGCAAAGAACATTGGCCACCCTTGATGATTAAGCGTAGATTTGTAGGAAACAGAAAATAGCCAAAGAGGAGAGAGTAGTCCAGCTAAGGTAGGTCAATAGAAGATTAATAGAAAAATTAGAAGCCAAAAGCAGTCCTATAATTTCCACCACCCAGAGATAGCCAATTGTTAATATAGTATAGTACACATTGGGTCAGACATTTTTTTCTACATACAAATCTGTACTCTGAACTACATGTGCCCTATTTTCTTTTTTTTTTTGTAGAGACAGAGTCTCACATTATTGCCCTCAGTAGAGTTGGGTAGAGTGCTATGGCATCACACAGCTCACAGCAACCTCCAACTCTTGGGCTCAGGCAATTCTCTTTCCTCAGCCTCCCATGTAGCTGGGATGACAAGTGCCCGCCACAATGCCCGGCTTTTTTTTGTTGCAGTTTGGCTGGGGCCAGGTTCAAATCTGCCACCCTTGGTATATGGGGCTGATGCCCTACTCACTGAGCCACAGGCGCCACCCAATATGCGCTATTTTTAAATGATTAATGTTACATAGTGCACAAATAGCTCCTAGTGAAGGGATCTATAGCCTTGGGTGATGCCTAAAAGCTGTTGGCTCTGAAGGTTCTCCACGTTATGGGAGAGAAAAAGGAGGCCTGATGAGAGGGGAGGTACATACTGGAGGCCACAAAGTAAAGCTTTCACCAGCCTCTGACTTCAGTGGACTGAGTTTTCTCCAGTAGCCCTAGGAGGTGAACTGAAGTCATCATTGCCTCTGCATATCATCTTCTTGGCCTTCACCAACAGTAGGCAGCATTTTGATTACCCTAAAGACCTTGGCGCTTTTTTGTTATTGTTTGGTTTTTTTGAAACAGAGGCCTTACTCTGTTACCCTAGGTAAAGTGCTGTGGCATCATCATAGCTTACAGCAACCTCAAACTCTTGGGCTCAAGAAAACTTCCCACCTCAGCCTCCCAAGTAGCTGGGACTACAGGCACCTGCCAGGATGCCCGGCTAATTTTTCTCTATTTCTAGTAGAGATGAGGTCTCAATCAGCTCAGGCTGATTTGGAGGTCCTGAGCTCAAGCAGTCCACCCTCAGCCTCCAGAGTGCTAGCATTATAGGCGTGAGCCACGGTGCTCAGTGGGGTTTTTTTTTTTTTTTCCTACACTATTGTCTTGGCATCCCTGCAGGTTAGGGAGTTCCCTGAGAGCCAGGACATGCATGTGCATTTCTGTGTTCTCTCACATAGTACTCTAGGACTGGCAGATAGTTGGGACTCCATAAATACTCAGGCCTGAAAGAAGGCACCACCATACCCACCTGAGTTTGGCACTCTGGCAGCCTGCATGCCCTGGGACAGGAATGCCTAGCTTTGCATAGTCCCTAAAGAGTGACTACCCATTCAATTCATGGTTTTTAACTTGTGCCTGAAATGTCTTCAAAAACCTCTGACTAGAATTATAAAGCTGAATGTTCTTATTTTTAAGACCACACAAGTATCCGAACTATTGAAGAATTAGCTGGAAAATTAGAATTTGAAAATGAGCTGAACCGTGCTTGTGGTCGCTGCCAAGATTCACCCTTCAAGGAAGAAGCCTGGGCTTTGCTTATGGATGAGAGCCCCCAGAAGGCATTGGATGCTGACCCTGGTAGTCTGAAGCAGGCTTTTGATGATAATAATATAGTTGAGACAGTTCTGGACTTGGAAGAGGACTATAATTTGATGACCTCTTTTAAATACCACATGGATTAAGGACTGTTGTTCTTAGCTGTGATACTTTACAGCAGGAGGCTGCCATCAAGGAGCCTGAGCAGAAGCAGCCACGGTCGTTGTCAGGGGCCGCATTTTTCAAAGGGTTGGCAAAACCTGAATTATCACACCTTTTTAAAATTCCCAGTTGTGTCCCTTTTTGAGCTGAGAGCTTGGTTTTTGAATTCTGTTGCTTTAATATATTTCCTGTTATTGACTTTGACTTTTCTTGATACCTTGAATATATTTTTTAAATTGATGTTCAGTATTTCCAGTACCCAAGCTAGGTGTGGGATGTGGGTCTTTGCTGTCTCTGTCTCTTGGTGTTCTTTTCTATAGGCCTCTGAAAAGGTATAGGGACCACCACAGTGGGCTTTGTCTACCTCTGGTAACAGCCCATCCCATCCTAGGCCAGATCAGCCTACACAGAGGAATCAGGGTCCAGCTGGAGCTTGGCATGGGCCCTCTGCTACCCTTACACACTTTTTTCTCCTTGCATACTTTGTACAGAGAGCCCCCTGATCCCTGCATGGGCCTCATGGCCTCCCCATGTCTAGACCTGCCATCCCTGCCCCTGCCCAGCTCAGAGGCCTCTGTAGAGACCTCCTGGTTGAATCAGAGGAGCTGGCAGGATCCCTGGCTCCCTACTAACAGGACATTCCCGTAAGGCCTCCCTATGACACCCCACACCTCCAGTTACCTGGCCCTCAGCTGAGGAATAATGGAGAAGGAAAGGTAAGTCTAGGTTTTGCCCCTCCATCTTCCTACCTAAACCTCATCAGTCCTACTACAGGCCTGGAGACCATAGGTGGTTCCAATGGCAATGATCCTGCTGGGGAAGACAGGGCTGGGAGTGAAAGAGGGACTGGGCTATTGCCCTCCTGAGATCAGCATAGTAGCAAAAGGTTACTCGCTTCAGCTCCACCCCTAGAAAGAAAGAAAGGACATCATTGAAATTATTTGGCCAAATATTTCGAAACCATGTTGTTCTCTTAGGAAACGTAATAAGTTCTTGGGCAAGATTTGATGTATCTCAGAAACTGAATCTCAGAGAAGTGCCATCTTCTGAGCTAATCAAGGAAGGAGGAGGATAGGATGAGGAGGCTGGCAAAGGACTGTAAGACTCAAAGCCTGAGCAAACCAAAGAGCTGGGGAGAAAGCCCCAACATCTTGACTAATTGCTCACCAGGCTGCCTTCTAGGCCAGTGACCTGCCATAGGGCAGGCTGTAGAGCCAGTAACACTCCTTTACCAAAAGTGGGAGCTGCAGGTCTAGTCCTTAGCAGAGCTCAGCCCACCTGCCAGTGCCCCAGGAAATATGGTGCAGCTATATATCCCAGCCACTTGGGTGGAAGGGCCTCCCCAGTGGGTATGTGCTGGTTCCTTCCTAGTCATGGCCACTGCCCTACCTGGGGCTAGAGGGGCGGACAAGGCTAACCAGAGCTTCCCCCAGGGCACCTATTGCTGGATCCCTACAGGAGGTATCTGAGCATTCGCAACCTGTTCAGGTTCTTCTGAAGCAGGAAGGATGGGAACAAATGACAAGAAATGTTTACAGCATCCTCGGCTGCCTGTTGGAGAGATGTCAGACAGATCGGCTGCCTGTTGGAGAGATGTCAGACAGACTAAGACTAATTAATACTCAAAAAAGTTCTCAAAACAGTATGTTTCAAATATATATGGATGTGGATACTCTTCTGTGAAAGAGGTGGAGCTAGCTTAATTCTCATCCCTCCCCACAGACTACTCACCCCATTAACACCCTTCAGGGTAAACTAGATTTAGTACTCTTTTCCAAGGACTAGGAAGAGAAAAATCACTAACAACAGAGAAACTTGGCCATATACTAACTTAATCAAATATTCAAGTTAACCTCACCAGTGATATAATATGAGTATCACACATAACCCGGATAGGATGCCACAAGAAGGGTACTTTACCTTCCTAGTATTCTTTTTTTTTTCTACTTTTTTTTTTTTTGAGACAGAGCCTCAAGCTGTCCCCCTGGGTAGAGTGCTGTGGCTTCACAGCTCACAGCAACGTCCAACTCCTGGGCTCAAGCAAGTCTCCTGCCTCAGCCTCCCAAGTAGCTGGGACCATAGGCGCCCGCCACAACGCCCTGCTATTTTTTGGTTGCAGCTGTCGTTGTTGTTTGGTGGGTCCAGGCCAGATTCGAATCCGCCACCTTAAGTGTATTTGGCTGGCGCCTTAGCCACTTGAGCCACAGGTGCTGAGCCAGTATTCTTTTTTTTTTGAGACAGAGTTTTACTTTGTCACCCTCGGTAGAATGCTGTAGCATCACAGCTCACAGCAACCTCCAACTCCTGGGCTTAGGTGATTCTCTTGCCTCAGCCTTCCAAGTAGCTGGGACTACACATGTCTGCCACAATGCCCAGCTATTTTTTGTTACAGTTTGGCCGGGGCTGGGTTTGAACCCACCACCCTGGGTATATGGGGCTGGCGCCCTACACACTGAGCCACAGGTACTGCCCACCTTCCTAGTATTCTTACCAAAAGTCCACCTCCCTAGCTTATGATCATGAGGTAATGTCAGACAAACCTAGATTGGAGGACATTCTACAGGGTACCTGGCCAGAACTCAGGACTCTGAAGGCCATGAAAAAGATAGACTCAAAATCTTGTCATAGACCACTAAAGAGGAAGGAGACACAATGATTAAAGGCCATGTAGAATCCTGGATTCTACCCTGGAACAGAAAGAGGACATTGGAAAAACTGGCAAAATCCAAATACAGCCTGAAGTTTAGTTAATATATTGATGTCAGTTTCTTTTCTTTCTTT